CATTACAGTGTTCTATTTATCACATCACCTGCTAAAAGCCTCAAAGGATAGCCAAAATGAATGGGAAATAATGGTGTCTTATTTTGAACAGTGAAAATCTGTCTGAAGAAAAGTGACAGTGTCATTGACAAAGAACAATCAAGGGTACAATTCAAATTTTGTTGTTCAATAAGAATAACGTGGGCATCTGGTAATAGTTTAATAACTCATGGGTATTGAAAATAAATGTTTTTTTTTTAAATGAAAGAAACTATTTTGACATTAAGTCTTGCCGATGACTGACTTTGCCATTTATACTCGTTCATTGTCTGTAAATCACTGTCGGACATCTAACGATCACTAACCTTGAATATGTGATGAAATTAATATGGTTACAATAGATTTTACTAAAAATGGGAGAGTTGGCAGGGACATTATGTTATGAACAGGTTACAAACTTTTCGACTGTTTGTAAAATGTTTGTTTCAGTAAAATCTTGGCCAGAATATTGCTTTTAAACGCAAGGTCAACTTTTCAGTCTATTTCTTTCTACCGATTGATCATACATTGATCATAATTTCAAGTGTGTATTTTTAAGAACAATACATTTTATTCTCACAATATTCAGATTACATTTCCTGTAATACTGCCAGACAGGGCAGATGTATCTAATTGAATGGTGCTTGTTTTTATTGCATATCAACTGAACTTCAGTGCCCGAACTTGTTCATTATGGAAATATTGTCTCGTTTATAATTGCTCCAGTCTACGTTTTATGATTTGAGTTTGAGCACCCACTTTGTAAGTATAATGATGCAATTCAATTGATTTAATTATAGTTTTCTAACTTTTATGTTACTAGTATACCAAAAATGCTTTTGTTACATTATAATCAGGAGTCAGTCTCAGGTGAAGGAGATAATTCAAAAATAGATGAGTTTCATATTCCTTAGTTGCTACGTACATGTAACTAAAAGTTATTATTATCGATTATGTGATTATAGTCATTCGTGAGACTCTTTGGCTCAGGTTTTTGTCAAAATCAATATACTGTGTTTGCTCTATTACCAGTACGCCCCCGAAAGTATCGCATATGTAAATTACAGAGATTTATGATCAAAATTATTAATATTTAAATGATTTAGTATACAACCAATGTGATTTTTGGTTGATATGAGCTTGTATTGAACATATGCTTCTACCGGTAAAAGAGCAAATAGGGTATCTGGTACAAAACTAAAGCTGGTTGCCGAGCAACCAGTGAAACCGAAACAACTTGCTGAAAATGGTATATCAATGTAAATTGTACAGGATCTTTATCTCTTCTATAGCTGTAGCATTGTCCTGCAAATTACTCAGGAAGTGATGCATTGACAGTCTTTAATTTTCTTAATTATGTGTCTGTCTGTTGATTCTTCATCTGTATCTAAAACCAAATTTGATATTCATGTTTGTTTGTAGCTTTTTTTATGCAAAGTACCCGGATCTATGAAGTGACTCTTAAATGGTGGAAAAGATGACATGCTCTGTGTGAAAATATTATTTATACTGTATTTTAACTCATTTGATTATTGCAATTCATTATTTTTGTTTTCCAGTATCACAAGAAGAATTTTAATTTTCTGTTGGAAAGTTTTATTGCCAAAGTGAACATTGTTTCCTGTTTTGGCAGATTCATTTTCAACAGCATGTTGCATCCTGCCTCCTTTTGTTGTCAACATTTAGTATTTACATGGAACGTTGGTATTATTTTGTCATTTAAATTGTACTTTATAAATACAAGTATATCATCAATATAAGACTAGATTGTTTTTTTTTTAAACTCGCACAACCATGTGAGATTTGTGACCCAAAGTACTATTCACTGGGTTGACTAGTAGTCCAGGTGGTCCAACAAGTATCAACTGGACTGAAAATGTGACCAGGTGGTTCAGATATGTGGTGACCCAAAGTAGTATCAACTGGGCTGAAATTAAAACCAGGTTGTTCAGATATCTGTTGATCTAAAGTAGTATCCATCAGACTGATTTGAAACCTGGTGACCTTAAGTATTCAATGCGGTGACAATGAGACAAGGTGGTTCAGATACCATGGTGACCTAAAGTA